TCTGTTTCTTTGTGGCTTGTTACTTCACACTCCCTGTACCTGAAATGTTAACTTATTTCCTTGCTCCATTATCCAGTATATTATGTTGATGGCAACTGATCCACTGAAGCACACTTTTCTTTTGCTTTTTAAATATAAAACATTGCAACATAGAAGGATTTGGACATGTTGAAATACCCTATTTTGATATTCTTTCAAACCTAAGTGTTATTGCTACTGTCAGAAAGTATGTTGTGAATACTTGGCAGGTAGTTTTCTCCTTCTTTTCCCTATTGTATACATGGTGAATTGTGGACTTGGAGCATGACATTCTTGACAGATGAAACTCCCACCAGAATCTGTGCCTTGTATTAATACATAGTGATGTTTTGATATAACTGTTAAAAGAGTCTATGTGAAAGAATTTTTAGCTGTAAACTACAAACAAAATTAGAATGACAATTTCTCAAATAAATCTTAATTTGATATAGATTTAAAATCTATTTAATCCCATCCTGACTCAGTAAATTAGAGAAGCAAGGTAATTTTCTGCCCTACCCCTGTTTTCATACGGTCAGATATAATATACATTCTGGTGAAAATCAATACAAATTTTCAAAAATTATGTATCCATTGGGTTGCCCAGAGAAGTTATGGATGTCCCATCCCTGGAAGTATTCAAAGCCAGGTTGGACAGGGCTTGCAGCAACCTGGTCTAGTGGAAAATGTCCTTGCTCATGACAGGGGTATTGGAACGAGATGATCTTTAAGGTCCCTTCCAATCCAAACCATTCTGTGATTCTAAATTAGGCATTCCCAATTCTTCCTTTCTGTATGCACTTTATGGTGTTCTTTGGCTGTTAGAAGCTTGGTTAGTTCACCTGCAAAATAATACATCAGACAGCTAGACAGAGGCAAGTTGTTGAATGAAAAACCGCTCCTGAAACATCTGCAGAAAAGATTAAACCTTATGAAAGTTCCCGAGGAAGTTTGAATATTCAGAGCAGCACTCGATAGCATTTTTTCCTTCTTTTTCCTCCCAAATGTAGGACAGTCTGTTTTATGACATACGAGGCTATTTAACATCTGATGTGCAAATGCTGTTATCTTCCCCTGATTCCCCTGATCTTAGGTAGGACTGCTATCCAAGACAGGGTTTTGCTGCTGTTGTGGCTGTCTGTGGCAGGGATAGTCCTGCTGGTTTCCACTGCAGGCGACATTGTTTATTGAAATCTGAACTCAGCACTCAGTTCGTGAGAAGCCCACGGTGCCTCAGTCTTTCCAGGTGAACAACCTACTCAATTATAAATGGGCCATATCCCCTGGTGAGCATCTGAGATGAACCCTGATCCCTCTCTCCCAGTCAGAGTGCTTCCAACACACTTTGGGTGTAGGCTACATTTCATGGGAACAGTAGTGGTGCCACTTTTTGGAGTTGGAGAGATAATGAAAAATTCTACTGATAACTAAGCATTCTATTGATGTTTTCCATTCCCAGTGCAGTGTGAGATCTGGGATGGGCATAGCCCAAATTGCTGTTCCTCTGTTTTAGGCAGTTTTTTAAGTCTTGTTCAATTTTGCTAATAACAAACAATGAATAATGAGCAAGACAGTTCCTGTGTAAGAGTCTCATTCTTTTATTGTGTTACCATCAAGTGGATCTTCTCCAGCTTTACATCAACCTTTTAATCTCAAAAATTCACTTTATTTTGAGTCCTAAATCAGTGTAGTGCATAAGAGAGTAAGACAAGGTTGAGCAAGAGCTTACTGCAAGCCCACTCTGACTGCTGGAGTTAGCTGGAATTCCTCCCTTCAGTGTAAGATCTGATTAAAAAAAAAATCCCATTAATTACCCCAGAGACCAGAATCTGTATCATTTAGGAAAGAACATTTCCCACTGAAATCAATAAGTGTTATTGAGAGGTGAGAAAAACATACCCAGTAGCCAGTCTATCCTGTATATGATTACTAGGATGTGTGTGTACCTCTGTGTTAATGTTGCTCCATGATTTTTCAGTTTCTTTTTATTCTTTCCTCAGCAAGGACAAGGATCATCACATGGTACCTTGTGTGCTCTGTTACATAATGATGATTCACCCCCAAGAGATAGCAGAGGGTTGAAAAAGATGAAAAGGCTATGCCAAGTTAACAAACACTCTGCACACATTAAAATGTGGCTGTGAGTTTCCAAATAGATACCTAGGAAAGAAAAAAAAAAAAAAGAAAAGGAAAAAAAAAGATAGATGTATGTTGATTTATTGAGCAGGTTGTCCAGCCCATGTGTAAAATCTTTGTGACAGCAGAGTACATCATGACATCCTCCAGCTATCCCTCGGCTTACTCATCACCTACTGGGAAATGCACTGTCCTTGTTCATTACTGCCTCCTCTTTCCAAATATATATATTTGCAAGTTGTCTTCCTTTTGTAAAAAAATAGACATAAAATCCTTTGTCAGGTTTATTCCCTTAATATATAACTTTATATTTTCTTCCTTTGCTCGTGCTCTGAGCTGTTTTCTCTCATTTATGCGTCGTAGCAGCTGTGTGCAAGCATTCAAAACTTGAAATATCTTATTCTGATAACGGGTTTCTTTGCTGGCTAAATAAGGATGTTGCAGGCTGTAAAGACAGTATGGCCAAAACAGTGTTGCCTGCTTCTTAAAGAGTCTTCTTATCGCAAAACAGGTGTCCCTGGCTAAACTCATCTGCTTTGCTTTACCTGACGAAGAGAAAGCTAAGATCAATTATGCAGTAAGGTCTTAACATCAGAGAGGTATCTCCAGATCTGCTGAGAGCTTTACTAAAAAATCATTTCACTCAAAATAAGATTAGAAAAAAAAAAAGAGAACGGAAGGGAGTTTCATCCAGATGGAAATGTAGTTTTTTTAATCGTTTGTTTATGACAATATTTTCCCAGTTTTCATAGGCTTTTGTCAGCTGTTTAGTTTATTTGGTGTCTGAAAACCTTTGAAATAAAATGTTTTCACAAATGTGAAAACTTTCCATCTATTGTTTTTCTTGTCATCCAAAAATTAAAAGAAAGAAAGAAAGAAAGAGAAAGAAAGAAAGAAAGAAAGAAAGAAAGAAAGAAAGAAAGAAAGGAAGGAAGAAAGAAAGAAAGAAAGAGAGAAAGAAAGAAAGAGAGAAAGAAAGAAAGAGAGAAAG